CAGAACACCCCGCCTAGCCCGGCTGCGGCGCAGCGCGGGGTGGGGCAGGGAAGGGATCGCCCGGTGACCCCCGTGCATGGGCCAGATCTCGGGATCCCGGCAGTATTCCCCCGGGTGCAGCCCTTGCTTCCCGGCCTGCTGCCTTGTCCTGCAGCAACGTCCTTGGGGCCGTTTCACCATTGCAGTGAGCTTCAGGCACACAGCGTGGGTTCGTGGGGGATATGGTGGTACCAGTGGTATCCCCCTGCGTGGTGCTGGGTAGGGTGGTGCTGACCTTACGTGTTCTGCTGTTTGGGACAGGTGTGGGAACAGGCCTGAGCCAGGGACACTCAAACCTTCATTCCAGAGCCAAGGCTGGTGGGGATGTGCCTCTGCAGGGCTTGGTGGGAGTGACAGTACTAGTTGCTGCTTGGAACGGGATATGGGTGATTCCAGAGACTGTGTGTGTGTAGGGCCCCACGTGCCCCCTGCCCCACTGCCTTTTCCTCTGCTGCCTGACCCCTGCTGTCACACTTACCAACACGGGGTCCTGGGAGCTGCCCTGTGCAGACTTGTCCCTTGACTGCTATGCACATTGGCTGTCCTGTGGCAGGTAGGGCTGTCAGCTCAGCCACCCCAGTCCTCTGCCCCGCTGGATGGTGCAGAGCCCAAGAGCAGGGAGGGAGAGTGCCCACAAGCAGGGAGAGCCAAGCCAGGCACTGGCAGTGTTGCAGGGCGTGGCGGGGAGCAGGGATGCACTGTCATCTTGGCCCTGGTTTCTTTCTTTTTCCTAGGGCAATTTTGCAGCACTGCTTCTGGCTGCAGAAATGTCGGAGCAGGAGGAGCCTTCTCACCCCAGCAGCTCTGAGGCAGGACAGCTTTGCAGTCCCTGCCTTGCAGTAGAGACCCAACTCTGTCTGCTCTTTCAGATTTGCAAGTCACCAGCTCCAGTACCTCTTCCCTTGTCTCCTTATGCGTTTCTGAGTGGAAAGTCCCCATCACATGGTGATGCCATCTGGTCACCTCCCAGCATCGGGGTGTCGGCAGCAGGCGGGGAAACACCAGGAGAGGCTTAAGCAGCGAGGATGGCAGGCAAAGCAAGCAGATCTGTGCTTTAACGTGCCCTGCATGGAGGGCCTGTGAGCATCAGGTTTGCTGCAGAATGAGTAGTTCTCTGATGTGAATGGGCATGCAAAGCACATCCAGCCATGGTGGGCTTGTGTCCATCTCTTACTAACCCTTTCCATCCTCCAAAAGAGTGATGAAAGACCTTTAGTGAGCCCTTTAGCATGTGTGACCATGGGATGCCCAAAAACTCAAACCATTTCTCACAGCCAGGACACATCTATAGCCCTTAGAGTGGGGCCATGCTTCAGCATTGGCTTCTTTAAACCATCCTCCTATAGCAGGAGCTGGTTTCCTGGAATCAGTAGATTCAGACCAAAAATAACATGGTTATTTTGGTACATCTTCCAAAAAGCTGTATATTCTCTGGTATGTCTTCCTAAAGCTGTCTTCCTGAGCCACTGTTGCATCAAAGCTGGCTTGGTTTTCCTTAGGGCTCTATTCACTGGAAGCAGTCAGGAAACTGTAGGGATTTGCATTACTCAGGAGCTAAGCTAGATCTTTGGGAGAGGGGTAGAAGTGGGTACTCTTGGCATGCACCTCTGCTGCTGTCCAGCTGCAGGGATCTCTGTACTGATAACCTGGTTCTCAAGGAATTGTGTCCTTAAGCTGTATCTGCATCTAATGGAAAAGCACTTTGTGCTTAAGGGGAGGGAAAGGAGGAAGAAGCTGCAGAGGCCTCATAGAGCAGAGGATGCTCAACTCTGCCCTGCTGGCCATGGGAGTATAGCCACTTTGGTCAGAGCCTTGGCAGCTTTTTAATCCCACTGAATGCAAATCACACTAAATGCATGATTCAGACCTCACAGCATGCTCAAGAACATTCTTGTGGTCCCTCTGGACACCTGCTGTCATACCCTCCCCCACAAAGAGCCTCCAACTGAGTGTTCATGTAGTGTGAGGTGAAGGAAGGCATCCTGTGGTGTTAAGTACCTCCTTATTGATAAGGAGGCACCGATCTGATCTGTTTGGCACTGGTGAGGCCACACCTGGATACTGGGTCCAGTTTGGGACTTTCCAGAGCAAGAAAGACACTCTGGAGTGACTCTAGTACTCATCAGAATACTGAAGGGGTCACAGGATGGCAGCCAAGCAGTGAGACAAAGACTTAGAGAAGCAGTAGGGTCTTCATCCTTAGAGATACTGAGATTCTGACTGAACAAGAGATTGGAGCAGAGACTCCCAAAGGTTCCTTCCCACCCCAGCTATCCAAAGGACCTTGCTACAAACTGCTGGAGGGAGGGATTCCAAGTATTTCCAAGTTTCCTGATATTTTGTGATAACAGGTCTGAGAGGGAATCCTGCTCTACATGAGAAAGAAAAAAGGCCCTTGTATCATGGTGTGCTTCCCTGCATCCTCCTCATGCATTTAAGAGTAACTGAAATCTTGGCTTTTAAAAACTGCCACCAGCAAATGGAGAACATTTTTGGGTGATGTTGCCAGTTCTGAGTGTGAATTGGGAAATTATTATTTTCCTTTGCAAAATGGATGTGTGAGATTTAGAACAAACAGGTAAATGTGTGGTTTTTTGCAACTAAAAGAAAGAAACCATGGGAGCCAGAACCAGCTTACAGCCTGTTTCTGTAATGCAGGGCAGGGAAACAGCCTCCCTTTTTTTCCTCCCAACTGCACCGGTCCTTTGCACCCAGCAGCTGTTTTCCCTTTATTAATTGAGAAGTTTGCCTGACCTCTGTTTCCCCTTTTTAGGCCATGAACCCGGGCTTGTGCAGCTGGTGAATTACTACAGGGGAGCAGACAAGCTGTGCCGCAAAGCATCTCTGGTGAAGTAAGAAATTCACTGAAGTCTTACGTGGGATTGGCAGAAGTTTTTCTTCTAACCCATGTAGAGTGTTGTACCTGTATGGAGGGTATTTCACAGAACAGCTGCCCTGGGAATGTCCTAACATATGCTGTGTTCAGACTCCTGTGTTGGTCTCTAGAACTATCTGTATGCACAATGGCCTCTTTGTAACTTCAGGGGAAATGTCATTTCCACTGAGTTACATCTGCTTGAAACCATGGAGTATATTGAATCAGATTAGAACTAAATCAAAAGAAAAAGAAACCCAAACATGTCTGCTCTTTTCCTTGTAGACATTTAATTAAAACCTACTCCTTTTATTCTGTTTCATGCAGAGATGAGACACTAATATGCCTTTAGCTAATCAGATTTGTTGGTCAAACAAATGCTTGGAGACATCTCCAGGAAGAGCTCTGGGAGTTATTTCTGCATGACCTGCTGTGCCAGGATCTCCTGGGGAAATGTGGATGAGCTTACATTGTAGATAACCCTTGTCCCTATGCAAACTCTGCAACCATTAGAGAATCTTCATGTCAGAGCTCTTGGTCTCCTTAAAGTATTTGATCCACATTAGGGTCTGTGCTGCCTCTCGCTGATGTAGTCCTGCGGACTGTGTGTGCTGATCTGAAGCTTCTCCTTCCCCTGCAAAGAACCTGGTCCCAGTTGATTTCTTGGCAGTGGTGATGGTGTTTGTCAGAAACTGGCAGAGTGTTTTTTAAACAAGCTCTCACAGCGCTCCTCAGCTGGATATCTCTGCAGCCTGTGATCTAGAGGCAGTGCTCAAAGTGCTTGCACACCTGTTTTTGTCTCCTGAAGCCTGGCTGACCTTTCTAACTGTGGGATCACCCTGCATCAAGCTACTTATGAATCCAAAGCACCACAAATTACATTCCTCAGGGCTTCCAGAGTGTCACTGACTGACAACCATTTCAACAGAGAGGCAGAAATGCACAGAGAGTCAGTGAGTCACAAACTCTGCTTTTGGCCTTAAGCAAAGCACAGGCATTTGGAGAGGCAAGCAGCTCCCTTGACTCTGAGAGAAAACAGGCCTGCATTCTGCTAAGAGGAGTTTGCTGGCACCTCCAGACGTTACTGGTAGGAGAGCTGTGCCAGAGGGATTGGAGACTGTGATGCAAGGGGGATCCCAGATACCTTGGGATGTGAAACATGTAGCTGTGTCCTTGCTTTCAGTGGGTTCCCAGTGGTTTTCGTCCACAACTGGGACACCTGGTCAGATCTGTGGGAATGGGATCAAGGGCTAAGCACTAGCATAGGGAACATTACTGCTGTGTCTTTCCTTTTGCCTGCTGTGATCACGACATCCTTCCTGCCCTGTTCTGTTAACAAACACGCCTTCTCCAGGAAATGCACCACAAGCTCTAGTTACACGGAAACCTCTCTACTGTTAGTTCCATGATACCCATGGTATCAGTAAATTAATGAAGGCTTGCAGGTTCTAGTTCAAAGAGTAGTCTTGGCTGTGGGTTGGAGTTGGCATGATGTCTTTAGGAAAACCCTAATTTCAAGGGTCTAAGGAAAATACTATAATCTAACACAGACTATCTGTAAGCTGCTATTCATTATCAAGCAAAAGAGCCCAGTTAATGATGATTTTTCCTTATTAAATTATGTTCATGCAGATGGGGACACTCTGGAGATTAACAGTCTGTCTCTCTTCACCCAGGCTAATCAAGACAAGCCCTGAGCTATCAGAGACCTGCACATGGTTCCCTGAGTCATATGTGATATACCCAACAAACTTGAAGACCCCCGTGGCTCCAGCACAGAATGGAATTCGTCATCTCATCAACAACACAAGGACAGATGAGCGGGAAGTCTTCTTGGCAGCTTACAACAGGCGGCGGGAAGGCAAAGAAGGCAATGTGTGGATCGCCAAGTCCTCAGCTGGAGCCAAAGGTTCATTCTCCAACACAATGAGCCATTTTTCATTGTTCCTTACTCTTTATGTAATCCATAGAGATCTGGGGTTTGGGCTGCACCCAGCTGATATCTAGCCTGTCCATGAAGGGCTTCACCTACCAACTCCTTGCCAGTCAAGCCAGCATAGGGCTCTTCTTAAGTCTGCTTGGTGGCATGGGGCTCCTGACAAGCTATGTAACATGCACATGCTACCTGGAACATGCATAGCAGTGGAAGGGCCTCCTTTTTCTACACATGCACCTTAAAATACAGAAAAGTGCTGCAGGGAGAAGGCAGCGGGAAGCAGCAGGTGAGGGAATGTGGAGAGCAGGAGGTATTAGGGAGCAGAACAGAATATGGGGAGCAGGTCATCAGGCAGGACAGCAGCCTTCACGTGCAAGGAGCCCAGCTCCCCATGCTGCATCTAAGCATGGCTTCACCTGAGCAGATGTCCTGCTGCTTGTCTTCCAGCCAAACTCAGGTGCCTGGTGCCAGTGGTCACACTGAGAGACTGGTTGAGCAGCCAGAAGCTCAGTACATCAAAATGCCACCCAAGCCTCAGGGGCAATAGATATCAAGTAATAATGTGTCCCTTCCTTGCTTCAGCGTCATTGCATTTCTTGCTCTGCAGAAGTAATGAGTTCTGAGATGAGTGAACTGGACACAGCTACATATGTAATGCTTTGATAACTATGTGCTGTCTGTCAGTTCTGATGTTGTCACAGGCACATTATCAGAATGGCTTTATTTAAAAACTTATATTGTCACTTGTGCATCAGAGCCCAGCCTGAGGAAGGACCTGATTGTTTCAAGGGCAACAAGCCCAGGTGTATTACTCATACTTGCAGTCAGTTTTGATAACAGCCCTGCAAAACCAGAAGGTGAAAGCCAGAGGCGGCAGCAGGGAAGCTGTATGATAAAACTGTCCTTCACGCTGGTTTCCTTTGCTGGCTGTGTTACCAGGAAGCATCAGACAGAAGAGCATGCTTGTTTTCATCCAGGATGAAGGGGAGATGAGTCCTTCTGTTATGACAGTAAGGGAATATGTTTCTGTGTGGTAAACCATCTGGCAAAAAATCAGTCTGGGCAATTGAAAAGGCTGTTGTTGTGGTCTGCTGCAGGATGGGGAGGTTTAAACTCTCAACATGCTTTATTCAAGTGCGATACCATCTTTTTGCTGCTCTGAAGCAGAGTAACCTTTCATATTCATCAGTGTGCTGCAGAACTCAAGCTGGGAATTAAAGTGGAAAGCAGAGCCTCCTGTTAATCTTTTAGAGGGAAGTCTTAAATGTCTGAGGTTTACTTCTGATGAAGAAGAAGGCTTGTCAGCATTAATTACCAAGGTAGATCCAGCTCAGGCACAGCCCCTGACTTGGGGCAGGTCTACTGGAAGCTTGGTTGTCCATCAATAACAGGAAAATTAAAGGTTTAGGATGGCCTGACTTCAATGTTGAGAGATTCTTCAACTGTGGGGTTTGATGTTTTCTTTGAGAGAAAGGACAGCTGCCTCACAAAAGCTGCTTTGCTCCCTCACTGTGTTGCTGACTAGGTGCACAGTTAACCTAACCTTCCCCTTGATTCACCATCTGTCCAGTGCAGAATGAGTGCCTGCTGATATTCCCACTGCAGGGGCTTTACTGGCTTACACGGATGTTGTTTCCCTCCCCCCAGTGCACAGCCTGAAGTTGTGCCAATGCAAGCTTCTGCCTGGCTCTGCTATGATCAGGGGACTAAAAAATATTGTCCCTTGCATAAAACATGGGGGAGAAAGATACTTTGATGACAGCACTTCCTTTCGGTGGAGGATGCTGAGGATGGATGGGGATCGGTAGTGCTGGAAAACTGTGACGCAGGTATGCAGAGCATGGAGCAGTGAGAGTGCCTGCAGGGCTGTGTTGACAACAACCTTCAGAAGTCATAGCTAGGAGCATTTTCCATGGGATGATCCTGTCAAACCCTGCCTGTGCTTCAAACCTGGCAGCACAGGTTTGTGCGCCAGGTTGAAGACTCCTTGAAGTCTCTGTTGAAGAATGTTTAGAGGTCTTGCTCAGTATTTCCTCAAACACTAAGCACAAAATAAGTCATCAGGTTTAGTCGGAGAAGTTAACTAAATGCCTGAAGACTGGGCATAGTGCCAGAGAAGTGTTAGATCTGGTTTATCCTTCATGGCACCATGCCATCCCTTTATCAAATCCCAGAAAGATATGTTCTCTCTTCATTGCTCTGCCACAGTCATTTCATATTTGGACTCTTGAAAGAAATGAAGAATGACAGCTTCAGCCAAAATGTGGCAGTATTGAAACTGCAGATTTAACTTTCTTAATGAAGAGCTTCCACAGCAGGAACACTCACGACATGGATGAACAATTTAAAACCCTTCTTTTCCTTATACAGCAATGATTTTAATAATAACTTAAATGAGCTCAGTGAGCAGGGCAACTCTGCACAAGTGTAGATGTGTGACTGCCTCTGGATTCCAGAGAAGTCTAGAGTCTAGGATAAAAAATACATATACCTCCTTTCCCAAATGAAACGGGAAAAATGTTGGGAAAGGTGAAGGTTCCATGCGGGGAAGCAAGTGGCCGACTCCGTGTGGGTGATACAGCAAGCTCCATCTTTATTGTCCGACAGGCTCTTTTTTAGACAGTGCAGAAGCAGGCGTACAATTATCCATCATTTTTAATTGGCTAGGCTCTAAAGATAGAAAAACCTTACTCACAGCTGCAGCTGTGAGGCTTATCTCCTGCTTTCCCAGGCTTGGGTGCATTCCTAGCTGTTTTTCTCGAACTTGTTTGTTTCACCCTCAAGGACGAGTTACCCCTGCCATCTGCCCAGCTGAGTTACTCCCTATCTATATATAAGTTACTATCTCCAGAGCCTTGCTTGTACACACTGCATTCCCAGGTGCGTTCCCAGGACTGTGTCTGTATGTTCCCAGGGGACTGCGGCCTAGCTCTTTTTGGCCTTCCCCAGGATTATATCCCTGCTCTCTTAGCCATTCTCCAACAGAAAAAACCCTTGCAAATAACCCGCAAAAACCTCTGTTCTCTAAACTGCAGAAAAACAGGGAAAAAAACCAAAATTCATCAAGTGCCAAACATGAACACCACACAGACACACCAAGTCCAGATGGAAAAAAATGATGGGAAAGGAAACAAAATCTGCCTCCAAATCAAGCAACTGCCTCACTGCTTGCCAAGGTCCCTGTCTGCTGTGCATCTCCTCAACCCCCCTGCAGACATGCCCTAGGCAGGCCATGCCATCTCAGGTACCCTTGATTCCCATTTGCATTAGTTCTGGTTACTGGGGAGCCAGAGGTCCTGTGGTGTGACAATAGGGAGGTCCCTCCACAGATTCACTCCCCACCCTGCTGTTGAGCAGCCCTGGGGCTATGGTCCACTTGAGGCCTGAAAAAGCTCTAGCAAAGGTAGAAGGATCCTCTGCCTAATCCTGTCTTCATCTTTCTGTGCCAGGGGAAGGGATCTTGATTTCTTCAGAGGCTGAAGAGCTCTTGGACTTCATCGATGAGCAGGGACAAGTGCATGTGATTCAGAAATACCTGGAGAATCCACTGCTTTTAGAGCCAGGGCATCGCAAGTTTGACATCAGGTAACCTTTTCTGCTTTATAATAGCAGTTTTCTTTCTCTTGCTCTTTGAGCCACTGAGACTACAGTTTGTTCTCTCATCCTCCAGGAGCTGGGTTCTCGTGGATCATCAGTATAATATCTACCTCTACAGAGAGGGTGTCCTGCGGACCTCTTCCGAACCATATAACAGTGCTAATTTCCAGGACAAAACCTGCCACTTGACCAATCACTGCATTCAGAAGGAATATTCCAAAAACTACGGGCGGTATGAGGAAGGGAATGAAATGTTCTTTGAGGAGTTCAACCAGTATCTGATGGATGCCCTGAACACAACGCTTGAGAATAGCATCTTACTGCAAATCAAACACATAATAAGGTAGCCAACTGCCTGCTGTGTAACGCAACCCTTCAGTGACAGGGAATGTGTATGGATGCAGCTGGGGAAGCAGACAGACCAAGAAGGGAAGAGTTTTGATTGCATAAATTTAAGATAAGACCATAAACACCCCAATGTCATTGCTTAATGAAAAGGCACCTCCATAGGTGCTGTTTCCTCAATGGTATGTGTCAATGTGTCTGCATGTTGCCAGCTGTGGGTGGAGAAGGATGGAGCAGTAAGGGAAGAGAGTAGGTCAAAAGACAAGGCTGGGAGAGGATGAGATTAAAAAATGTATAGAGCACAAGAGGAAAAATTAAGCTGGACTCAAGTCTGCGGGATCTCACTGCAGGATCAACACCATCAGCAAGCAGCAGCACATGACCTTGGCCTAGGTCATCTTAGTCCACACAGAGCCAGCTACCTCCTAGGCACAGAAAGTGCACAGAGATCATGGTGCTGCAGAGAATCCAGCTCTTGGCAAAGCAGTCCTTCACGAAGGAATTTAATTTGCAAGTACCCCATTGCTGTTACTTGCACCAAAAAGACATGACATAATCTTCAAGGGACTTGGAGGCAAATGATCAGTGGCAGTTCCCTGGGGACCTGCTGCAGCCCTTTGTGGCTCCAGGCTCTGATTGCACACTGTGTTTTTCAGCTGGGTCATCCAGTAGTGAGGGAGGATGCTGCTCCCCAGCTCTTCCACAGTTAACTCAGGGATGTCCCCACATGTATTTTGATGGTTGCATGATCTCACTTGTAGGGACCTGGTTACCATGGCATGTGTTGGATATAGCTTGTAATTTGGGGCAGTTCCAGGGTAATGCGTTTTACTTAACTGTGCTATGCACACGCCCTCAGAAGCTGCAGTGCAATAGGTGTATCTACAGTGCTCTTAATCTTGAGTTTCTGGTTTTCCCTTCACAGAAGCTGCCTTATGTGTATAGAGCCTGCAATCAGCACTAAGCATCTTCACTACCAGAGCTTCCAGCTCTTTGGCTTTGACTTCATGGTGGATGAGGAGCTGAAGGTCTGGCTAATAGAAGTCAACGGGGCCCCGGCGTGTGCCCAGTGAGTAGTCAGTTTCTGTAATACCCTTGTGATGCCACCACTCACGTGCCTCACTCAAAACATGACCATGTCCCAGCTCCAAGTGGAAAAGGTGGAACAAAGCAAATGGCAAGGGAGTTTTTCAGGCCAACCCACACTGTACACTGCTCTAAGTGTCAGCTGATTTGGATTCATTGCTCCTGTGTCTGTTTGGTAGCCTCCAGCTTCTTTCTCATGTGAGATGGGGCACTAACCTTGGGTTTGGAATAAACAGATTTGACTATAAATTGCGTCATTTTTATTACTATCAGGTTGAAGTTCTGTTGCAGATTTAACGCTTTGGGGGTCAGGTCATTTCTCAGCCTCTCTTGTGGAGCCACTGGTGGCTGGTCTTTACATGAACACGTGATAAAGGAGTAGCATAAAAGCCAGCAGCTGGAAGTGTCTGACTAAATTTGCAGGCAGCAGGACTCCAGACCTTCCACTAGCCACAGGGAGACTGGGATAGCCAAACAGCCTTGACCATGAACATTCACATAGGCACAGCAGGAGGTGCTGTATTTTGTGATGAAATTGCAGGAGACTCAAAATCTTTGCTAAATGAGCATCTGTATCATATAAAACATCAGCAAAACAGAACACACTGTACATCACTACGTTAGAATTTGATCAGATTAGATGTAGATTCAATTAGATTACATTAGGTCATCACTAACAGTAGACAAAAAAATATAGGTCAAACCTACCAGACAGCCTGTCCAGCAGCCTTTTCAGGACTAGGGCCTGGGGAGCTTTCTGCATCCAGGGTGCCCTGTTCAGCATGTGCACTGTGGTGCAATACTGCCTTGCATCTCCTTGTGTTGCTGTATGGGTAGAATTTGGCTGTTGCTAAGTGGATTTGGATTGCAGCAATGCCCTGTTTGCTTTGTGCCTCTATGGGCACTTGGAAGATATTGAAAGCAGCTGAGGTAGATTTTGAATATTTGTGCCTTCTCTTCTTCATGGTTATTGTAATTTGTAGCAGCCATATCACAGTTCCCATTTAAAGAGAAAAAAAATGGCTGCTGAAAGCAGTAACATTCCCAGGAGCTGAAAAAACAGCTTACTGTCATGTAGCCCCAAAGGCACAGAGTAAAATACATTGCTAATCCTAGGAAAGACAGCTTTGGTACTAAATATGTCCCAGATGCCAGCACATTCAGGAAGGTTACACATGTATTTCCTTCAGCAGAAAGTGTAGCTATTGTTAACTCATCTCAAACACCTTGTCTCTCTTCTGCCTAGTCCTGCTCTGTATGAGCTGTGCCATGGTGAAACACATGCCATGCTTCTGAGGGTCCTGTGAAGCCTCTGTGTCTGGTCACAAGCTGATGCGCACAGCTGCACCCTGGTGCAGCATTTCATCAAACCACGAATGCATCAGAGCTGTCTCTCTGGGGCACATCCCCACGTGAACAGGACCTGGTGTGGTAAATCATGACTCCCTGAGTTGGAAGGCTGGCACAGGGGGTACTGTGGTGTTGTCTGCCCCCATGCATCTTGTGGTGACTCAGGTCTGGGGCCTGAGGGTGTGAAGACTGCTCAGAAGCCTGTTCTGACAGTAAATATAGATAATGAGTTTTGTGGTCCCACCTTGACAGAGAGCAGTATAGTGAATGGGATCACTGTGGGAAAACAGATGGAAGGGTGTAAGCAAGGAGGAGATGGAACAGGTGCTACCCTCCTCCTGTTTGCCACCCTGCAGCTCCTTGTAATGGGAGTAAGATCTTGTGGATCATGCTGGGAAAATGCACGTCTGTGTAAAAATTGGTAGGGGGTCTGCTGGTTTGTCCTTCTTGGGTGTCTGATTCTCTTTCTCTCATCCCCTAGGAAGCTGTATGCAGAGCTCTGCCAAGGAATTGTGGATGTAGCCATCTCTAGCGTTTTCCCCCTCAATGACACTGGGCAGAAGATGAGCCAGTCATCATCGATCTTCATCAAGCTGTGATGACAACAGGACTGCCACTGCTGTGAATAGGGAGAGGCTGCACCCCTCGGGTCAGCACAGTGCAGTGGCTTATCTCAGTAACATGCCAAAAAGCGATAAGAGACAGGCTTCTTATTTTCTGGGAAACCATGGGGAAAACCAACAAAACAGGCATCCACACAGAGCTGTGATGAACCAGAGCTGCTCAGATAACTGCCTGCATTCACCAAAATCCACTTTAGAAACAGCTCCTGTGACTTTCATACCTGAAACAAATCTCTCTGGGAGAACAACAAAATAACCTTAAAATGAAACCCCAACAGGGATACTGTAATGCTGTATTAGCTCCTCTTTTTCTATAGAGACAACATTGGGTTTTTTAAGGGAATTGAGCGAAGAGAATGATGAAGTTGTCCTCCTCCCGCTGTGTTTCTTTTTTCCTCACCTGCTGCATCATTAGTGCCTTAGCTCAGCTCCAAATAGATGACTCCTTTCCTTTGTTCCTGCTCTGTTACATAGAAAGGAGCAAGCTCTCTTGCATCGCAGGGTGCCTAAAACAAGGAACACCAAGAATTCAGTTTCCTTAGGTCATTTTCCAAGCTGATTGGCTGAACACCCAGGCAACGGCTGGCAAAAGGGTGCTGAACTGCAGGTGGTGAATTAACCCAAGCAAGGAAGACGATTTTATTTCTTTATAGCTATCCCTTTTCCTAATGAGATTTGAATCAGTGTCCATCTCAGTCTGAAGCAGTTGGATTCTGTTCAAAAGAGGTAGAGAGACTCCGCGGAGCTCCCTGACAGGCTGTAGGATTTCTAGCATCACCTTTGTGCTGAGTGTTTCAAATAGCAGAAACTTTGATCTCAGTTTTTTTCTGAGACACTGCAGTGAATTTAAGCTCTTCTCTCAGCTTTCACCTTCGTGATTTATTTGAGGCTTGACCTTCAAACCTTTCAACCCAAATGATTTTTGCACTGTTTGATCAAGACAGTTTTCTTCTCTTCCATTTGACAAATACTGCAATCTTTTGCCCTGAACACAGTCCACAACTCGATCTCAGCTAGGGGAAGGTGGGTGAGGTTTTGTAGACCAGGAGAGACATTTCTGTTTGCCACACAACTGGGAAAGCAGGTGTTTTGGGGGGAAGGGGAGGTTAAATTCCTTGAGGTCTCTGAATTTCAGGGCTAACATGTGCTCTGAGTATAGCCTAAATCCCTGGCATACTGCTCACCCTGCAAAGTGTGAGCCCAGTACATCCCCTCCTAAGCTAGAGCTCTTTGCAGAGCACAGTGGCACTTGTAACAGCAGCAGGCTTTGGGGTGGTGGTCAGGGCTGTGTTCTGCTGCCTCTGGCAGGGAGAGATAGTTGGCACCAAACTAAACTGGTTACTGTTACCCAAAACAAACAAGCAAGAAGATATTGTGGAGGTTACAAGCTGCTGTGTATCATGGGAAGTGAATCAAGCAATGGGATTTCTGCCTTCCTCAGAAGATCGTGGAGCTTTGGTGTCCTCATCTCTGCTCATGATGCAGATTTCGGAGTTGTTTGTGCCAGCAGACAATTCTGGCACCTTTCTGCAGGCAGGACTGAAGCATCCAGGCCTCCTTGGAGTGATGCATTTTGATTGTGCTGTCACAGGATGGACATTGGTTGCGACACACTCTGAATCCACAAGTGGCACCATTTGACACAGGGCCACTCAAATCCATGAATGCTTAGGAAAGCCCCACGGAAGCATTGCAGAGAGGGCACAACCCAAAGACCCACACAAGCACTCCTGAAGTTGTCAGTGCCCTGAAGCCAGTGTGGATCCACATCTGCAACATGTGTGGCAGACAGAGGGTGCACTTGTGGACAGAGAGAAGTGACGGAGCAGGGGCTGTGTGAAAAGAGGGCTGCAGCTTTGTTCCTCTGCCAGAGCAAGTGCCAGCTCTGGTCTCTGGATTTTGGCCTCGTGGGTGTTCAGAAGAGGGACCATGAATGCCTCAGTTCATGAGATGGGAAGTGCTGGGAGATAAGCTGGGAGGAGGGCTGTGGGGGAAGGACTAGTTGAGGGGTTTAACCTTATGATAGCACAGAGGTGTCAGAATTTCCCTGCAGGGCAGGTGAAGTGTAGGCTTCTAGGCGTTGTTACTCACTAAGCTCACCACATCTCCATTGTGATTTTGAGCTTTAAAATGACACCTTTTTGCCCAGCAAAGGGAAGATCTCACAGCAGTGGGTTATTCAGGATGTGCCGGAAGTGACAACTGGGCTCTCACAACTCTAGGGCAGACGAGCAGAGCGCAAAGTGAGAACAGAAAATGTTCCCCATTATAATAAAATGGGAAGTGCTTGTTTTCTGGGGTGCTAGACCCATCCCTTCTTTTCCCCTGAAAAAGGAAATTAAAGTAATTAATCACTCCCTTACTGCACAATAACATGAGGTTTCTGGCTATGTAGTAGGATAAGGGCAAGGAAGCTGCCTGGATGCAGGCTTAAGCAGTGGCTCCCACTGGAGCAACTGGTACTACTTGGGACCCTCTGCCTAACTCCAAGGCCTTTCCATCCCTCCTTTTCACCCTGGATTGGTTGTGGAACATAAGCAGCTGGCCATTTTTGCCATTCAGCTGAAAGTGGAGCTTCAGCTAGATGGTACAGCCATGACTGCAGGGGATGCAGCTATTCATGCCCTGCCTGTTCAGCTGGGTTTGGGGGAAGTGGTGTTTCAGGGACTCTTGAATTCTCCACTAGCTGAATTTTTCAGAAATAAGCAACAGCCTCTAGAGGAAAATGTGTGTATTTTCCACCTTCTCTCAAAGTGTTCCCCAGAGTAAAGCACAGAAGGTAGATGATAAAGGTCAGAGAGCACTGTGCCTAAGGTTTTGCCCAAAATACTAGCTATGAGGTGGAGTAGAGGATGTACGTATGGCTGAGGCCTGAGCATTGCAGCCGTGGGTGCACCTTGCAAGTGATGCTCACAAGCCTCTGTGAGACTTTTGTTTCTTTTTTTAGGAATATAAAACAATAAATGTTTTCTAGCTTATTTCAGCTAAAAGGTCAATAGGAAAGGTCTTACTCTCTTTCCTGAGCTTTCACCCAGGATGATGCTGGGTTTCCAGAAGACACCTATCATATTGCAGAATGTCTAGTCTTAGTTGTATCCCTTCATGTCATCCGTGAAGGATTTCTGACCCAGGTATTCTGGCTGTGTTTTCCAGCAGGGTCTGGTCCCGCTGGACTCTGGGTTTCAGGTAACTCCCATGTGGCTTGTTTCATATGAGTTAGTCATGATTACCATCCAACAGCTATTGTGCTTCAGCCAAAATCTGGTGGCTGGCCACAGTCCATGGAGAACACTGGAGAAGTCTAAGAAAGGCTCTAAAGCCATTTCCATCCAGGTGGCTGTGACCAGCACCCTTCAGGACTGCTTGCATGTCCCTGCTCCCAGCATTTGTTCCCCACATGCAGCTCTCCCCCAGGAGAGCAGTGCTGTGCCGTATGTAGGTTCATAATCATCTTCCACTGCCAGTGTCGGCTGTGGCAGCCCTTGGGAAACCCTGATATTGAGGGGATGGTGGGGTACCAAGCTAGCCGCCTGCCAGGCTCTGGTTCATGTTCCCAGCTGCTCTCACGTCAGCATGTGCGTGTGGGGCTGGAGAGTGCCTGAGCTCGTGGATCTCCAGCAACTCTATCTACGTTTCTCCCAAACCATCATTAAAACATGCAAACCCCACAGCCTGCAGTGTTTCCTTGGGGCAGTGGGTCCTTAGGGTGGCCGGTTCTCAGGGAAACTTTCTTGTGGGAGCCTGTGGTGTTCCTGCCCTCCTCACTGTGCAGGGCCCCAGGAGCTGGCACACCGCTGACCTCGGGGTGACAAAGGTAAGACAGCAGCATGGCAAAAAACCCCCTTGGGACTGTCCCAGCACTGGTGGGAGCTGGGGAGTTGGGGGACTGTTTGGAGCTCCAGGTGTGAGAAGGTGGCAGAGAGTGATGGGGGATATTAAGGCTGTCCCCCTCGGGGTGCACCTGTCTGGGCAGGGTGGGACGTGGATGCTGATGGCTGGTGAAAGCGTGC